AGAATCGCGGTATTTACGAGAAAAATATGGTGCGGTAACCCGATTAAAGTGGCACAAGCAATAGTGACCAATAAACACTTGTACATACGGATCGATATTTCGTTCCACTCGTGTATCTCTCCTGGAAAAGAGGGTTCGAAAAAAGGATTATATTCGCCTCGCATGCCCGATTTCGAACGAACCCTTTTTCATTCGCCGCAAAAATATGTTCAGCACTCCTTCTCGCTCCTTTCATTTTGTCAGACATTTATCGCCGAACGTCGCTCGCGCGCGCGTCTCTCTCGCGTGCGCCGCGATTCCCGACGTTATTCATGAAAAAGAAAAAACCCGCGACACGTCGCGATATATTCTCGAAAGGGAAAAGGGGAGAAAAGTGGAACTTCAACTTTTTCAGCGAATATACATATTTTTTTTTCGATCAATGTTTACTCGATTCCATTGAACTTAACTGAGGTTGAGTAATGACGTTTCACTTTCGAATCATTAATTCGACGATCAATGGGCCCGATGTTATTCGATATTGATGCAAACTGCGAGTTTTCAGCTTCATGCAACAAAGCAGAATTTCAAACGAGTTTGAATATTCGAAGAGTGAAGAGTTACAATACGGTTTTGAATTTGAGATTCAAACAATGAATTCATATGAGATTGAACAATTGACGCGTATCGGAAGTTTAAATATTACCACATACTTTAAAATTATAATGGCGTATAATTTTAAAATTGTGAAAGGTAATAAACGTTTGTATAACAATCTCTATATTAATGTTTAAACTACTATATTTTATTGAGATTTATACATTGATATTAATGTATACCGAGAGAGAGAGAGAGAGAGAGAAAGAGAGAGAGAGAGAGAGAGGAGGGAGGGAGGGAGGGAGGGAGAGAGGGAGAGAGGGAGAGAGGGAGGAGAGAGAAAGAAAGAAAGAAAGAAAGAAAGAGAGAAAAGGCATCGTAAAGCTCCATAAATCTTCGGATCGTGTACGTATCGTGTACGCGATTAATCAAGGATTTCGAATGTTCCACGTCAGGGATCTCGCCGTGTTTCGAACTTATTTGACGAGAGTAATATAAGTATTCAAATATATCAGGCCGGCTTTCCACTCTTGTCGCGCGTGGGAGATATTCCATCTCGCTCCGGAGTACATTATCATGTAAATCGTAAGCATGTCGGGGAACAAAGTTGGCGGAGAGGGGAGGGGAAAGGGGAGGAAGGGGTTGGACCCCGGCCGGGTCGGCGCCGTAACGCCGACGAAACGCGGACGAAAATTCGACGGTTCGGTCGTAAAGGTTTAAGTACCATGAAAAAAAAAAAAGCGAACGCGTGTGCACGCGATTGTTGTAATCGCGCTTGCTGTACGGGGTGTTCGAGCGTTTTTACGACGGAACGGATCGCCGACTAACGCGAACTGTTACGGACCGGGACGTAATTGAGCGGACGACATTAGCGAATCGACTGCATCAGCGAAGTTTAATCAGTTTTTTTTCGTTGCGCATTACGATTATATCGATATTAAAAAACTATGAAAAATAGAAGAAGTAATTACTTTTCACATATGTAATACTGTATGTCACGCCAAAATTGGATGTCGAACCAATTTTCTCCTCTCTTTTTTTCTCTTTTACAATTTTTCTGTCTTTTTTTTTATTAACAGTATGCAAGTTTGATGCAGAATATATTTGTTTTTACTATATTGTGTCATTGTATTGTGTATCAAAATTTTCGCTGTTTGTAATAGCTAAATTCGATAGACCCTGAATACATATTTACAAATATGTAAATATCATTATTTTAGCTGTTATTTATGTATTATATGTCATAAAATTTATATTATTTTATTACGATATTGCTTCGATAATGCTTGATCAAAACAGAGCGGCAAATTCATCTGTGCTATGTGTGAAAGTTTCAGAAATAGCTTTTACGCACGAAACGGATGCTGCAAGAATGCTTACGAATTTCGAAAAAAGCTTTTCTGTAAAGCGAAAAATCGTTATGTGTGTAAATATCTAAAGGTGATAAAAAATCTATTTTATTTTATTTTGTACGGTCGAATTGCGATGGTTCGCGCGCTTGCACGAGCCGGAAGCTCAACGTCAAGCATTTGCACCGTGAGAAATCTGAAACGGCGCCATACCGACACGTCGAAAAGAGAAAACCATGCGGCGTGCGTCAATGAAATCTCTTTAATTTATTTCTTTTTTTGTCTTTTTAATTAAAGCCTACTTGCAAATTCCATTGATATGCACCGTACATGCTAAAAAAAATTTTTTTTAAATATAGAATTCTCCTCGCAGGTGGAGCGAGATTTACAATGAATCTCGTTACGCTTCTCGCGCGCATTATAATCTGAATGTTGCTCGCACCCACCAATCGTCGCCTCCTCGGCAAACGATTCCAGGCTCAATTAGCGTCTCGAATTCGCGTGTGGGCGTGGTGGACACGCGTTGCATTTACGCTATGCGTTCTGGCATTCCTCGCACTGTCAGCCATAATTCCGCAATAAATCGAACCCCGGTCCGGCCGGCGTGGTTTGCGATTATCGGCAGAGTGCTACGGTATTTTCCGTACCGGATATTTCCGTGCCAAGTTCTAACGCTCGGATGAGAATGTTACGTTATAAAACGTAGGTATATATACATATATATGTATATATATATATATATATATATATATATATTGCTGCGTCTGCCGATATTATTATCCTACGATACAAAGTTTAATGAACAATTGCCATTGTTATCTTTTACTTTGCTTTTATTTTTGCGTAGATAACGAGAATTTTCAGTATAGCGCAGCGAATGAACGCGAATCCCTCGAATCCTTTCGAATTCCCGAACGCGAATTTTACTCGAATAAAATAAAATTAATCCATATTTCATATTTTCACGGACGCTGAATGCCTCTGTATTTCAGTTTGCGTGGCGCGCGCGATAGGTTTGATTGCACTTTGTGCCGCTGAAAAACAGAAATCGAAGTTTGACGGCGATGATAGCTTTCGCCGCGGACGCGAATCTCTTTCCCTCCCCCCTCCCCCCAGGCTTCTGGCGATGAAATTCTGGAGGAATATGGCCGCGCGCACCCTCGTAAAGGTGGCACATAAAACGAAACGAATGCGTGACAATGTTCCGCTAGGTGTACCATTTCAACCTCGGTCCAGATAAATCGCGAAACACTACGATTCCTCGTGTTTTTGTTACTCGAATCTCGCGCTCTTTCCGTTTCCTTGCCCGAGACAAGCGCAACGAGGAAAACGCGCGCTTGGAATATTTTTATTTTACCCCGAGGCGTGCACGTCAGTCAGGGGGTGAGCTGAAAAGGGCGACCCGGACTCTTTATAAATGATCGCGCCAGGTTTCGCTGCGCTTCCATTTTTCAGCGCGAGCACGGGACGGGACGTGTATTTTACATCAGGATCGCGGAAATGTTCGTCTCTCATTTTTTTTCCCTTCCTCTCCTGTTAGTGCATTAAGATGCGCCATTCCAAAATCGATCATCGATATGCGCTTCTAATTTGAATAGGTGTCGCTGACAGATCCGCCTCCATAGAAATACCGCGCGATTTCATTTCATTTGGACGTGATATAATATCGACATAACATCGCGCCATTCGCAGGATAATTGGACCACGCAGTTACGTTATTCGTCAATATTTCATCGTGGGCATAAAATGAATTCATTCATTATAGCTATTACGGAAGCCGCTTGTCGGACGTTGCTGTTGAATCTAAAGCCGAATACGTTTACTATATAGGTACGTGTTGAGCTTTTCAATATTTCAAGCTGCTGCATGTACCCGTGCTAAAATAAGACAGACGGAAATGGCACGGATTGTATCATTTATTCAGCGAATTTTTGTACAGTTTTTGGTATTATTCTACCCAGAGTGATGCACGCTCGCTCGCTCGTATACACGGGGTACTCTGGGAGATCCACGTGGATTCCGGGAGATCAATGTTGCATCCCTTGATAAGTTCAGTGCCGACTTTTTCTCCAAGTATTAATCCAGATCCGTTGTGCCTTAGCGAGAACATTAACGAGAATTCAGATAATTCAATATAAATTAAACGTTGAGAGCGCGTTGCATTCGCAGGGGGAATTAATTAAAGCGTATTCAGAATAATTACACATATATTGTCTTCTATCTTTTTTTCCCACATTTTCGCTTCCATTTTATAAACTTAGAAATAAAGTGTGAGCCACGATTGCGGCGGTTTGCATTCAGAATCCGCTTCTATTTTAAGCCGTTTATTCTGCTTGATCCCGAAACTTTCCGTGGTGGACAGTATATACAGAGAGCGAGAGAGGAAGATACATTTACGACCGTCATTCCGACGCTGTGTCGTCGATCGTAATTACCGGGGCACCGTAATACACGGCCGTTACACTCCGTAGGTAGCGCGCGGTGCTTCGATTATGAATAAAACATGCACTTACAAAACGCCGCCGCCGCCGCCGTCGCCGCCGCTCCGTCGCGTGTCGCTCCGCTCTCGCGGAGCGTTACTCGCTCGATATACCGGAAAGAGTTACGTCTCTCGCTCGTGACGGGCTGAATTCCATGCACGCGTCGCGTCGCGCTGCCAGGGGCCATTTGTACGCGTCGTCGTTTTTTGCCGGTCGCGTTGTCGGGAAGCCTGGTGTAATTGGGAGATGGCCGTCGATCTCCCGTGCGCCAGCGGGGCGCGTTTAATAAAGTTAATATCACCTCCGGTAATATAGTAAAACGGTGGTAAACGGCGGACGGTTAATAGCGGGGATCGAAACCGAGTATCGTAAATATTGTTTGTACGTCGTCGTTCGCTCCCGCTCGTCGTCGTCGTCGCCGCCGCTCACCCGGCGCGGCGAATATCGGGATGATAATTCCGAGAGGAATGGCGCGATCGTCGCGAGATAAAAGCGACGATAAATTTAAGCGCGCGCAGTTGACTTCCTTTCGGAAGAAGGAGAGAATAGATGGAGATCAGCTCAACAAAAGAGAATCTACGTTTTTGTCTTGCAGAAATCTTTAGAAGCGCGGCAGAGGCTGGTCCTCTGGACATCGTAAAGCTTCGCAAGGGGGACAAGCTCTTCAATATTTCGACTCATCTACCGGCGAACACGCCCGACACGCCTTATGTTCTTCAGGTATATTCTGTTTCAATTTTCATTCTAATTAATTAATTAATTACGTTTCATCAGTATTTGAAGGGATAGTGTGTAATAATTATTTATAAACGATCTTTTTTGAAATTTTTATTCCGCATGAAAAGTAAAGAGTTTCTTGCAATGCCTATTCGAAGAGGTTTGATATGTGAAAGAATTGCGTTTTTTGATCAGATTTTACGATTATTACGGCAAGGATCACATGTTTTAAGTAGATAACGTCATTCTGGTAATGAGCGATCTGATCAAAGGACAAAAGCGAAATATCATCTTAGGCAATATGTTAATTTCTCTTTTAAGCAAAATATCCTCAACACTCGTAGCGTGCACTTAGCTTTACGTACTTGGTTGTACTTTTTTAAGATCGTTGGCGCTCACCCCGCTTCTTCGGGGGTGATCGAGGCGGAGGTACTTTGGGCTTTAGAGAGGCGCGTGGCGGCTTTAGAACGGCAACTGCGAGAGCACCAGGAAGCTTTATATGCCACACCCTCCCTCACTCTACGTGAACTCAAACGCCAAGTGGACAGTTTCAAGAACAAATTGGAGAACAACGATCAGCTGAACTGGCTTAGTAAGTAGCCACGTACGTCGTTCCTGCATCTAGAGTGTCCTTGTCATGCCTTTCCGGCCGATTTATTTCAAAGGCACTCTGTATACACACAAACACACACACACACACACACATA